ATCCTGGGAAACAAAAGGAGATTCCTGGGATGTTGGATGCCAAGATTTGAAGAGTTGCACTAGAGAGTAGAATGAGAAGGAGTAGAGTGAGGGAAGACATGTGTTTTTATTTCACAATTTTAATATGAGTTGAACTTAATGCTGAGGTAACTCGACTCTTACGATCTTTTTCTTTTTTTGAAAGTTTGCTCTACTTTATTTCTAAGTAAAACCATTGATAGTCCCTTTGTTTTGACTCAAAATATTCCTGAAGCTAGAGCATAAAAAATATTTATGGAGCAGATTATGATTTCCCTTAGGAATAGTTCTGAAATTGAATGTTGAATTTCTGACCCAGGACTTAGCATTGGATACATCATAAATATGATCAGCCATGTCTCATGACAATTAAGAAATTACTACACATACCTATCATATAACATTAAAATTTTAATACCAATTCTATAAAATGGTCATGGATAAACCAAGCACGTCTTTTATACAAAGCAATCCAATAAACTATACATTTTGGGGGTAACATTAAAAATGTCATGTTTCATTGACTACTGATCTTCCCACCGTCTGTTTGTCTGAAGTCTCTGAGTTACTGAAGACAGTGAGCTGGTGAAAAGCGGCCTGAACGAATCAATGGAAGATTTGGGAAGTCCAGTTCACCTGAGTCTCACATATGGTCCTTTTCCATATATTCAAATATTCTATGAAACTAAACTCTTTTCTAAAACTAATATGCTAGCTATAATAAACATTAAGCAACAAATTCAAAATAATTTCTTATGCCACCTTAGAATTTGGAAGAGTTTATGGTATACTAGATTGTCCTGCTTTAGAAGGATGTTAAAGACATTTGACATGATAGTTCTTATTTCTTTAGCCTAGCTACACATCTACACATTTAGGGGCTCCTAAATAATTTTCATTTTTTAATTATGAAATAATTTTCATACTTTGTTAATCTGCTAACAATTACCACCAGGTCATTAGCAAAATTTTGTGGAAAAGGAGTTTCAAAACATCTCTCACAGAGTCCTCAAAAAAAACAGAATACCTTGAATGTAGCTTCCTTACCTCTCAAAACAGAGTACATATAATTGGCAAGCAGGAAGCCTTGTGTTAATTAGGTGATAGCAAATGGGTGAAGTGGCAAAAAGGCAGAGATGGAGAGTATAGTTTTCTACAGAGGAAAAAGGATAGTTGATTTCTGCAAGATTTACATGAAAAGGTTAAAGCTGTGCTTTATTAATACTGAAACACCATTTACAATTTTATTTTTTTATTGATATATAATTGACATATAACACTATATTATTTTTAGGTGTATGACATAATGATTCAATATAAATATTTATTGCAAAATGGTCACCACAATAATTCTAATTAACATCCATCACCACACAGCTACAAATTTTTATTTATTTATTTATTTATTATTTTTGTTTTTTGGGGTTTTTTTTGCTACAAATTTTTTAAAAAATTATTTAACATTCATCACCTTTTCTTAGGTGTTGATGTCTCTTGCAAACTATTGAATTCAATTTGTAGTAAAGAGATTTAATTGAAAAATTTCACAGACAATGGAAACTACTTACTCTAGGGTGGGTCATCTATTTTTATAAATTATACACCGGCTGTATCCCTCAGCTATATTTTTCTTGCCTTCCCCTATTTTGAAAATGAACAAATTTTATTGAAATGATAAATATAGTAAAACTGGAAAGAATGCTAAGGTTTCCAAATATTACCTTAGTCCTTCTCAAATGTAAGACCTTGAATCTTTAATTTCTTCCTGCCTTAGAAATAAAATATTAAACTGGTGAAATACCTCAGGATATATAATTTTAAAATTACATGTATTGTTAAATATATGGCATATAGAAATATAATTATATAATACTATTTTAAAAATGATAAATAAAAATAAAATAGAACTAACAACGGACCTCACAAGACCAGTAGAAATAGCTCATCTATTACAAGTTCTACCCAAAGGCAATGTTATGTAAATTAAATTTATAGGCCCTGGATAGCTTCTCCAATGTTGGCCTCTCAAAAGCTTTATACTGATATTTTTAAGAAACTAGCAGCATACTTCACCTTGGAAAAGTAATTTTATAAAGACACTGCCATTAGTGATTTTATATACTTCTGCATACCCTTCCTGAATTTGAAATAATGGATAAGTCCAGGTAATAATTTTTGTTCTCTTTCAAATTTTATGACTAAAATATTGAGTTGTGTTTTATGGCCTACATTTATTATATTCTGTAGAGTCAGCCAGCAGCTTTAGGCAAAGAATACCTTTGGATTCTGAAATCAGATGCAAAGGAATCAGAGGTTTAAAATGAGTAATCATGTATTCCAGAAGCATAAGAATTTTCCAAAGATTCTGAAATACAACTAAATATTGCATACTGTGTAATGTATGAGTAATAATTTTCCAATCCTCTGTACAATTTCTTCCTTCCTTTCTCTTTCTCTTTTTCTTTTTTTGTCTGTCTTTCCTTCCCTCCCTCCCTCCCTTCCTTCCTTTTCAGTTAAGATAATTTTCTCTCCTATTATGGGCCAGGATTGTTGCTATAAAACTTCATTTCCTCCAGAGTAGTTTTGGTAGTACTTTTGGAAGAAGAGTTTATTTAGCAAATTGTACACTGATAATACTAAGGACTTTTTATAAGGAATTTTAACAAGGTTGCAGGAATTATCCAGTCTCAGTTTTTAAGAGTAAAACTGAATGAGGGAAATTTAAATAGTGGTAGGTTGAATAACAAGTAGGGGTATATAATATCTGTACGACAGAACAAAATTCTAAAACTTCCTTAAATAATTTTCTTTTTAAACCGGGTTCTCATTTTAACAGACCAGACACAGTTTAATATCATTTGTTTAAAAAGAATGAGAACTGTGGCTTCCACAGGAGAAAGAGATAAAAATAGCAGGATTCTAACCTAGATCTACTCCTGCTAAACTCCTTTCTGCATGTCGAATGTAAGTCCTAGAGCTATCACAGTCCCTTCAATAAACTTTAGTTTCTTTACCAAACTGTGAGGCTAATACCTAATCTGGGTGTGATAAGTGAGATAGTGTATTTGTAAATGAAAGCATTTTGAACAATATAATTATTGTTATATTGTAAGTTATTGTTTATTAGGGAAAAGCAGATGCCAGGCAAACTTAGTTTTCAGGGTAGTATAAATGTCATAGGCTTGCTAGGTTGTAAGGAGGTTTATTTTATGGTTTAGCATTCTCTAATTTCAGAGTCTACCTAAAAAAGTTCTGCATCAGAGACCACCTTTATGTTTAATTGGCTATGCAGATCTACCCTCATTTTGAGCACCCATTGGCTATTATTGTGATAACTAAAGTCTGGTTAGAATATCATAAAAATTATGCAGCATAAAATAAATTCCATGACATTTCTGAGGCATTTGAGAAATAATTTACTTTCTTAGAAGTCAGGTCAAGAGCAGAAACAAAATTATCATTTATGCCTAACCTCAATTTTCCCCCCTCAAGTATATAAAAAGAACAAAAGCACTGTTTTCTTTGAAGAGGTTTGTTGTTATTAAGTTTTACTTTGTTTTACATAGGGAACCTTTGTTGGCCTTTAAAATGTAATTTAGCAATGTAACTGATGTACAATCAAGCAAATACATATGACAAAATGTATGCATACTTATTTCAGCCTCTGAGATTTGTTTTTAAATTACTCTGTTTGGAGCCCCGGGAAGAAAATGAGATCATTTCTTTCCCCTCTGCCAAAGGCAAGCTGATTTCCCCAACCCACAAGGACAGTTGAGCAGTAAGTCCAGCGTGTTAGCGTGGCTGAGTCTCCCGACTCGTGTCCTGCCATCAGTGAGCACACACGCATTCACGCTAGCACGCGGGATGGGGCAAGAGCCCGTTGGCAAGACATCACCGGTTCGGCTACGCAGCTTATGCTGACGGTGTAGCTATGCCGTGTGTCTGCCGCATCTGCCCAGTGGCTGGGGTAAGAAAGAAAGAAAGGGTATTTGGTAGAGTGTAAGCAGTTGCTCCCACCCACTCTCTCTCACTTATATACACTGTACTCCTCTCCCCACGTGCATTCCGAGTGCTGGGTCACGCACACACTCACTTGCACTCTCACACACGTGCGCACCATAGCGCGCCCAGCCGCAAGCCGGGACACGTCGCCCAGGCACCCTAACCTTCCCGCCCCTGGCTCGGCGACCTCTCCCCATCCACCCGCGCTCCACGTGGGTGCACCCCCGCGCCAGGCGGCCGCTCTGCCCACGGAGCCCGTCGCGGGCCCCCGCGGTGGGAGGGAAGGCGCGGCCCCGGGGTCGGACGGACAAAGCGGGCGTCCAATCGAGCCCCGCACTGCCTCCCCGAAGGGAGGGAGCGGCGGCTCGGACGGGCCCAATGAGCGGGGAGCCCGAGTGGGACTTCCTCCCGGAATCCCGTTGGCCAGAATAGCGGGGCCGTGGGTGACACGTAAGTTGGGTGGGAGGCGGCGGCGGCCAAGGTTCGGCAGCCCCGTCAGTGACACCGGCCCGCCGTCCCCCCAAACCCAGCCGGGCCAGGCGGACCCCGCCCATCCACCTACCCCCGCGGGCCGCGCACGGAGGCGCCGCCGGGAGCCGGGTCCCTTTGTTGGGCGCGCACCCCCTCCTTTTGGTGGCAACAAAGTCGCGCAGTGGGGAGCCGCCACGAGGGGGCGGGGAGCGGCCGGGGCGGGACTCCGAGCGCCGCCGGGGGCAGCCGAGCCAAAAAGTGGGGTGGAGGAAAAAAGGCAGGCGGTGTCTGGGGACCGGCGCGGGCAGAGCCCGCTCGGAAGTATGCGGAGGGCCCACTCTCGGGCCCGTGCACTCGCGGAGAGCCAGCCTCGCAAAAGTTTGGCGGCCGCTGCCCAGGCGGCGTCGATGGCTGTGCGCCCCGCGGCGCGCGGGGGCTGAGCGAGCGCCACTTCCCCTCGGGCCCCGCTTTGTGTCTCGCGTCTTCTCCTCATGCTGCGTCCGGCCACCTCCTGCGGCGGCTGCTGCTGAGGAGCTCCGCTCAGGCAGAGGGGAGGAAGGGACGGCGGCGGCGGGGGTGGCCGCGGCGCGGGGTCCAGGCGGGACTATGGGAAACGGGATGTGCTCCCGAAAGCAAAAGCGGATTTTCCAGACGCTGCTGCTGCTGACCGTGGTGTTCGGCTTTCTCTACGGCGCGATGCTCTATTACGAGCTGCAGACGCAGCTGCGGAAAGCCGAGGCGGTGGCGCTCAAGTACCAGCAGCACCAGGAGTCCCTTTCCGCCCAGTTACAAGGTACGGTTAACGGGACGCGCGCGGCCGGTGGCCAACTTCGCCCCGCGCCTCCCGCCCCGGCTGGAAAAGTGGCTTTGGTGAAACGCTGGATTGCGGTTGCCACTTCTGACCATCACGGACATCAGAGGCGAGCCCTGCAGGGCCGCCGCGTTTCCGAAGTGTTAAGGGAGATGACATCCCCACCTCCCACTTCCTCCGGCGGTTACGTTTGAAATGGGTAGCACCAGCGGCCGGTCGCGCCGGGCGTTGGATGCGACGGCGCCCACTGAGCGCTTTACCCCAGCACTTGTCAGTGGCCCAGCTGCAGTCTGGGCAGGCCGACCAGTAGCCATTCCTCTGTTTCTGCCAGCCCATCCCGGGGTGGGGTGGGGGGGCATGGTCTCCGTTGCTGGGTATTCGCTTTGAGTTGACTTTGTCAATAGCATAAGAAATGGAGATTGGCAGTGATTATTCAAACTATGCTGTTTTTTCAAGGGAAATTTAGCCATGACCTAGTTGCCCAAACCAATGGCCCAGTCGAATGGAACCTAGACCTGCTAGTTTCTCTTAACTTAATAGGGTGACTTTAGCGATGTTGGAAGTATTGGAAAAGTCCACACTACTACTGTTCACCATCCTGCAGGTATGTTTTTTTGGGGAAAAAAAAAAGTTTGTCTTCCTGAGTAACTTTTAGTTTATCGCAGAGGTAAGGGTGTCTGTGTGTTGTGTATTTTACAGTTAGCTTTGAGAAGTCCAAGGGGAGAAACAGTTTTTCGTTCTATCAGATACAGTGAACACAACTTGAGCAAGACTTGCAGAAAGATTTAAAATTCCTATCCTTCTATTTTAGAATCTCATTTAATGTAAATTTCAGAAACATAAATGATGCATGACTGAACTAAGCACCATGTGGTCTTAAGAGCATAGTCGTCCTATACATATTTTGTGAAAGCTTTTACTTGTACTTGTGTCTAGTTTTCAACAGTCATGCAGTCCGGTCCCCAACCAAAAAAAAAAATACTACTAGAAAGCTGTGAGTAGTGAAATGTTGACAGTTTTTGCTGATAATGCAAATATAGCTTATTTCATATTACTGGGAAGATACAAGCTGGATGGATGTTTGTGTCAGTGTATGTGTATACAAATAGAAAACAGATGCCTTTTCGTTGCTTCAGCTATTTTGAGTGTTTTCTAGTAAAAAAAAAATTAAAATGAGAGAAAATGACATGTGGCTGATTGCTTGGTCTTATTTTCTCTTCCCAACTTAGAAGAAAGGGAAGTATTTTTAGCTTACTGAAGCTGCATAGCCACAGGCAGTGAAAATATGTGAGCTGGGTCTGGGTTTGGTTCAAAAAGAAACCTGTTTTGATACAGACTTAGGTTAAGAAAATTTTTCTTTAAACTTGTTGAAATTTACCCATGACTTATTGTTGGTATACAAATTCTGGGTATTTATGTATTTACTTATTTTACTTAGAAGACAGTGGTTTCCCTAAGAAGTTCAGTACAGTTAGACAAAGGGAAAATTTTGCCATCTAATACTACAAGGGCAGGACTGGATTTTCCCACATGTGGCTGGAAGGGGCGTGTATGGTGGATGATATGAGGTTGGTGCCTTGGTGTCTTAGTTTAGGAGACCCAAGCAAACAGATGCCGTCAGGTTCGCCAGTACATCCTCAGCAGTGCACAGTGCGGGACACTCATGAGGGAATCAATATATATTTATTCAGTCAACAAACGAGCTGTTATCCTGAACTGTGGTGGGAAGATTAATTCAGCGCACTTTTGTCTGCTTTCTCAGGCTTCACTTCGCTGTCTCTGCTTTTTGAAAAGCAAAACAAAACAAAATAACAACAAAATATTTTGCCCAAGTAGAGCTTCTGCCTCGGCAGCCAATGCTGGACTGACTGAGGCCCTGATTTCTGAGTCATGGCCTGTATTTGCAGTATTTCATTTTGAAAATCAATCTCAATTTCTTTTCTCCTTTTATTTGCCTTCTTTTGGTGGTGGTAGTGGGGGAGACTGGTAGCAAGTGGTAATGCAAGGCCATTAAAATATACAACATTTGTTTTGTAGCAGGAGATGAAAAAATGTAGCTAGTTTGAGTGGACTTAACGTCCGTTTCTTAATGTATTTTGCCATTTCCTCTTGAATTGTGCTGCAACAATTATAATACGGTTTTGCCTGAAGAATTATTTCCTAAGCAGGCTATCGTTTCTTTTTTTAATGGATTCACGATTGACTTCTAGAGCATGTATTTTGGATTTCACATCTGCAGGCCATTTAATGAAGATTTTCTGATGGTATGCAGCTTTTGCTTCCCTTTTCCAATGACAAATGACATTTTACTCAGCAGCTCTATGTTGTACCACCTGCATAGATTTGTTTTGAGGGCATTAGACTCTCCATTCTTAGGACTTGTTTAGTTAAGTGAGATCTCTTGACCTGAGTTGGATTAAGATCAGAGTTAATTATGAGTGGCCTTCTTTAAAAAAAAAAAATATATATATATATATATATGACTCTTGAAATGTTTAAGTAGTTTGGCCCTGTAATCTGAAGGTATACATTTGTTAAGTGAGCATATTTAGGTCATCTTCAGTTTAAGAATGGGTTGTACTCCAGAGATTATTTTGAAAGTAGGTTACGTCTAACTGCAAGTGCCTTTTGTAGTAGGCCCGTTCCATAAATAGGAGACGGTGAGGGGTGACCTGGGGAAAATTTCAAGACTAAGCAACGCCCTCTCCAGTGAAAACAAATGTCTATGTCTGCCAGCCAGTATGTCTCTTTCCTCCACTATCTCCCGCTTCTGCTGCACATTAATTCTACTTTTTAGTGGGGCAGAGGTTACATACTGGTGGCAGAGGCAGTGGTTACAACCTTTGACCAGCACAGTGTTTACTTAACCTCTTAAATTTTTTTAAAACTGCTTTCAGGTGGGCCATGCCCCACCCTCTGTGTCTATACACAGTGGTTCTTAGCTCTGACTGCCCCTTAGAATCACGTGGGCAGCTCCCAAACCCAATCAGTCACAATCTATGGGGGTGAAACCCACATGGTGTCTTCCCCAGGTGATTACAATATGCAGCCAAGGTTGAGAATTGCAGCCCTGTAATCTTAAAACTGAGCCACTTCACACATTTACTTTACTTGCTTGGCTGCGAAGACGTCCGAGGGTTTTATTGTTGCTTTTACCCCAGCATGTGATTCAAATTCTAGTCCTGCAACTTTCTGTGTGAACTTGGCCCTCATTTTTCTTATTTAGATGATGGAGATTAGAATGATCTATTTCATAGGGATAATGTGAGGATAAAATAATGAATACCTATGAAGCTCCTAGCACATACCTGGCACACAGTAGGTACTGCTCATTAAAGATAATCTGTTATTATCATCATGGTCCCTGTTTGAGGTAAGATATTTCACATCTTTCTCTTCCCAGGTTTGTCATGGGTAAAAGTTTTAAAATTGACAAAATTTGTTTTTATAATTAGCTACCTCCTTTTATTGTACCTGATTGAACATCAAAGGAAACAGGTAAACAGACATGAATCCAAGTACTTTCCTCTGGAGAAGGGACCTTCACTGACAATTTAAACTTAAAAAATTAAAGTAGGGTTACTGATTAACTCTCTTCTGTGTCATATCAGATAAGAAGAGGGTGTAACTCCTAGGGTAGGCAATAACCTTGTGTAATAGCATCTGGAATAGAGATAGAACTATTTAAATTTTTTAAAAGTAGGGGCAAATGGCCCCTCATTCCTGAAACACTGTATTACATTTTTGCAGTGCTTTTGGTCCTACCAGTGATGGCCAGAAACCATTAAGAAAAGGTTTATATAATGTTTCCTACGCTCCTGTTCCAGATAAGTGTATTGCAACTATTTAAAGTAAAAAAAAAAGTGGGCACCTGGGTGGCTCAGTCGGTTGAGCACCTGCCTTTGGTTCAGGTCATGATCCCAGGGTTCTGAGATAGAGCCACCTGTCAGGCTTTCTGCTCAGTGGGGGGGAGGGGGTCTGCTTCTCCCTCTGCCCCGCCCCCTGCTCATGCACGTGAACTCTCTATAAAAAAAAAAATTAAAAAGTTTGGTGCTTCTAAGGCTCATACTGTTATTTAAGTTAGTTGTCCCTTGCATTGTGTTCTAACACAGGATGGCACGCTAGCCATCGCATTGGTGATATGTTCACGCTCAAAGAACTGGTGACTTCTTTGTTTTTAACCTACCCTGAATCTGCTTAAAAAAGAGTACGAGTCTCCAGCTCAGGGCCAGGCTTTCTTTCATCTCCAGTGCGTGGTGCCTGGCATATAGTAGGAGCTCAGTAGAGAGTAGGTCTATAGCTTTGTGGTATTCTCTGTCTGCTTATGAATGTGCTTCTATACAGTGGGCAGGGAAGTGTAGTGGATACAGGCTGAGGGGTCAGAGAACTTGGGTTTCAAGTCTTGCTGTCTTTTTTTTTTTTTTTACCGGCTGTGTGATCTTGGGTAAATTACTTCTCTGTGACCCACTTTTATCATATGTAATAGTCAGAATAATAATGCTTATAATAGGTGGTCATGAGGATCAATCATGTTAGCTGGCTTACAGTGCTTAGAAGTATAAGGCTTACATTTTGGACTGTACAACAGAGTGGTTCACAGAACTCAGTGATTTAGACCCATGATTGTGGGCTGTATGTGGTTAGGTATACTCATTTTCAAGTGCAAAGTTAGGCCTTAGATCAGCTAGATACTGTTCATTAGATGAACATTTGCATTTAAAAAATAGAATTAAATATTCTTTAACTTAAGTAGTTTTTATTTATATGTAAATCCCTGCCTTAAAATGCATTCCCTGAATAAAAGATGAAAGCTTCTAGGTACTTTGTGAAAATCTGACTCAATTAAGCATTCTGTTAAATATATATGATTTGCACAAATTTGTATGATTCTACATATTGTGTCTGCCTTAGTCATCCGTATAAATTGGAACATGCCCATATTGGTTGACCACATAAGAGAATTTTTCATTATTTGTGAGCCT